GGCCTCTCGGCATGTCTAAGCAGCGAAGCCACTTCCTCAATTTTAGGAATTTGAAGGCTTGCCACGCCTTCTCCATCCTTAACTCTGAGCTTTTCAGCGTCAATTAACAAATTCTCAGCTTCAGACTCCGATACCTTCTGATGCAAAACATCCGACGGAAGATCCAAATAGCAGCCGCCGGGTCGACCTGAAGCGGCCCAATCAAGAACTTGAGCAACGCAATTGGGAATTTCTCTTATATCCTTAGCCTTAACAGAAAATTTAGAAAAGGGTTTCACGGCTGCAATCTGATCGAGCTCTTGAAAATCGCCACGACCAAAATCCTTCTGATCACACGAACCAGAGATCAAGACCATCGGCCAAGCATTAGCCATGGCGTTAGAGAGACCGGCAAGGCCGTGAACACAACCAGGACCCGAAACAGTAAGCAAAACCCCAGGTTGGCCGGTGAGGTAGCCATAGGCAGAAGCAGCGTAACCAGCAGATTGCTCATTATGGAAAGCCAGGAAACGAATACCAAGAGACACTGCGCGATTTGCGAGTGACGTCACAGGGATACCCACAACGCCAAACATGTGCTGAACGCCAAATAGCGCGAGGGATTTGGCCGCAAGAACATTGCCGTCGATCGAATCCGCCATTGAAGCTGAACACTCGTGACTCGTACGCTTGATCTAATGACTGGAAGGCTTTTGATTCTTGAGCATGGTTTGGGAATTTGTAAATTATAGCTTATATAGTGGAATTTTTTGGCAGTTGAAACTGAAATTGGGAAATATACGGAGGTCGAACAACCGGTGGAGGTCGCGATGGAATGTGGTTGATTCTGGCAGCCGGGCGGCTTGGAATTGGAAATGACTGATTGGGCCTTCAAAGAAGCAAAATTGCTTTGTGATCGTGATAGCAATCTACGAGGCGATGACTGTCTAGGTTAATCCTCCATTAAATTCAAAGATTTAGATGATCGCCATGGACTGAGCTTTGCATTTTCGCGTTCAACTATTTATGAGTTGTTAAAAAATAAAAAATAAAAACGGATATGGGTGGTTGATTTTGTCATTTACGAATGCGTGTTAGGGCATTGAAAAAGAGTGATCCGACAGGACTTTCACCAAACTTGAAATCTGATCCTTTTTTTAAAAATAATTAAATTAAGTAATTCGTAATTTGATCTAATCTCATTATAACCTAAAGTCGAATAGGATCGGATCAATTCAATAATCTAATAGGAGATTGGTTCTGATTTTATTCAGTATCTTATTTTATTTTTTTTACTTATAAGAAATAATAATTTATTTCAACATAATAAAATTACTTATAATTATATAAAATTTATCACAACAATAACAATTATAAATTCATAACAATCTCCAATAAAAACAAAAAATATCTCAATTACAATACAAATTATTTAAATTAAATAACTTTTAACATGTCTGGAGTCCATTATATTAAATTAATAATAAATTTTATTAATAAAAGAAGAGGATTGAGGTTGGTCAATATTAAAATTTTGCTCAATATTTATGATTTCACAAATATAAAACACAAAAAACTATTAACTATTATTATAAATTAACTTGTTTACACCATAACTATAGTTTTTTTTTTGGGCTTAAGATTAACCCAAATTAAAAGACATTAAAATCATTATATATTTTTTATTATTCACAAGTATTTGTTTATTGATAATAACATTATTCGAGATACAATCGAATATTAAATATGAATATTTGTTTATTGATAATAACAAATTTTATTAATAAAAGAAGAGAATTGAGGTTGGTCAATATTAAAATTTTGCTCAATATTTATGATTTTACAAATATAAAATACAAAAAATTATTAACTATTATTATAAATTAACTTGTTTACACCATAACTATAGTTTTTTTTTTTGGGCTTAAGATTAACCCAAATTAAAAGACATTAAAATTATTATATATTTTTTATTATTCACAAGTATTTGTTTATTGATAATAACATTATTCGAGATACAATCAAATATTAAATATAAAAATTTTTTTATTAGAAATTTGAATCTTAACTCATTATGCTATATGGTATTAGTTCTTTTTGCTAGATTCAATTATATTATTAGTTGAACCTAAAGAAATGTGTTAGTCTTTTGCAAAGTAGTGAACCAATGTTTCAATTTTTATTGGGAGATGTGCTTATATTTAATACACGATCAAGCATCGAAAAATAATATTATAAAGTTTCCTAAAATTATAAGAAATTAAGATCACAAAGTAAATGGGAAGTAGCCAATACCCTCCAAAACAAAAAACAAAAAACAAAACAAAACTCAATGTCACATACTCTTTCTGTTTTTATTTATAAAAAAAGCTATCATTTTTAATTTTTTTATATAAATAAAATCACATATTCTAGTAAGCATCTATTTCAAACTTCTTAAATTATCCCTTATAATATATTATTTATAATTATAAAAAATAATTAATGAAGGTTTGATTAATACAATTAATAAAGAGTATTATAGTTTATTAATTATTTCATTTTCAGACACAATTGATATAGTTAATTATTTTTTTTAAACTGTGTAATGTAACTTTTTTTCTCCTACAACTAGAAATAGATGGAGCATAATTATTTATCTCTTATTTCTTTTCACTTTCAAATTCTAAACAAAAGACTACTGTAATAGTTTAATTTTAAATCAACACTAATAGAATTTCAAAATACACTACATGATTAAGGAATTGTATTGAAAATATGTTTTAATAAAAATTGACTAAAATACCTATCATTTTTAAAATATAAATGAACTTATTAAAATTCTAACTTAACTTATCATTTTCACAAATACACATGTTAATTCACTAACATAACTTATTAGTAATATTTTTTACATATCTAATCTTGCTTACTTACTAAAATTCCAATTTAAATTCTTAAAAAATAAAATGTATTTTAATCATTTTTTATTAAAATATATTTTGAATTCAACCCCTTGATCTTGCAAAGTATTTTTCATATTTTATTAATTTTAATTTGAAATTATTTTTTATTGAAATTCTTCCAGAAACACTCATCCAACACGAAACACAACCAGATTAATTAGACTCAGCAATCCCAAAGCCAATGTCTCAATCAATCCAACCCATTCAAGATTCATGTAGCGTTGGTTTGAACTTACCTTTAGTCAAGTCATTCTCCTCAATAGTCACGAGACCATCATCTTAGAAATAGCTTGTAGCTTATCTAGTAGTTGTCGGTGCGTTCAAATCCCTTCTCATTCACTCAAATCCCGCGTTGTAATCTGTGAAGCTCATCCCTGCATTTTCTTAATTTTCTCCCTCAATCTTACAGTACAAATTTAACACTTTATTTTTATTTTTATTAAAATGAAAAATTATAAATTTTGTTACCAATTTGGACAGCCTAAATTTAATATTAATGATTCAAATTTAATATTTAATTTTTTTATAAATTAATTATCTTAACAAATATACTTTGATGTCTGTACAATGCAAATTTAATATGAATTGTTTAAATTTAACATTAAAAATTCTTATAAATTGAAATATCTATTAAAGAGTTAAATATTTAAAAATTATAAGTTAAATATTTCATATCAAACTGTTTGTATGAATAATTAACTTATAAAACTTGTAAAAAAAATTAAATATCAAGTTTGGACCATTAAAGTTAGACTGTCCAAATTGATAACAAGATTTATTAAAAAAATTATATTTTATTTTAATAAAAAATATTAAACCTGAACTATCTAAAGTCTAAATTTTGGTTGTGGTGTAACAAACGTCTTTGAGAAAAAGCCTTGAAAGAGCAAAGCTAAGTCTGAAGTAAAGACATAAATTATGTTAATTTTACTATTTACGAGAATGAGAAGGATTAATATGCATTATAAGGAACTAATGTCTCTCGTTAGAAGATTGAGGCGGATGCTTAACAAGACATGCTTATCACCCAAACTGCCTAATTTTTTTGTTAGGGCTACGGCCAATCAAGAAAATTTATCCAAAATCCCAAAAAAAAAAAAAAAGAATCCCCTCGGGCCTGAAAATCATAATCCAACGAACATATGGACTGCATCCGACCCGGTTTCACGCTTCTGGAGCAAATCTTTTTCGCTTCTCCAAGCGAAGCTTCAAAAGATCTGTCTCTGATCTTCTCGCCGGCGGCGTTCCCACGTGCTCTTCGCTCCAGTGTAAGCGACTCTCTCTCTCTCTCTCGCTCCCCATCTTTCTCTTCATTTTCATGGAATGCAATAGTTGATTTCTTTTTTACTTAGAAGTTCAAATCTTTTTGGCATTCGCCGATGTGCTTCTAGCTTCGAAGCTTTTCTTTAACTTCACCATTTCGGCGCGGGCGTTTTAATGATCATTAATTTATTCATTTATACAATATTCACATACTTCTTAATCTCCTGGCATTAACAGTTTGGTGGATGAGTGGTTTAAGGATATTGATCTCTATAATAATCGTTAAGACCAAACCATCGAACAGGATCAACATGCTAGAAAAACCTACTTGACGAGATGAGCTTCATTGATGAGTTATGCCTCAATTTTTTGAATGCATATATGCAATAGGATGCATTTGTGTTATTTTAGAGACATTGAGCCTTTGAAGCGGAGCAAGACTATGATGGTTGAACTGATAATATGACACATTTGATATTCATATTTACCAAGAGTAGGAACAAACAAATACCTAGATGAGCCCTTGATTCTAATTGTTCTGTCTTGATAATAAGTCGTTGAGTTTTGACACGGATTGAAGAAACTTGATCATATCATTTTAGCTACATCGTCTAGAATTGGAGAAAACAACTAAGTGAGTCTTCGGTGTTGATTTTTTTAATAGAATTATTAGTATATTCATCGATCATTGTAATCTTGGTGACTAGCACGATTAGAAGCATCTTTGATGCTGTCCTATTTCACATTGATATTACATGGAATCGAAAGTAATCAATGGCACCCACCTTAATGCATAAGGTGCTGCGGCAAGTTGCTCAAGAGGCTCAATGCCTCTTGCACCATGAGATGTACTGGCTTTAACGTTGCACTTGGTTGGATGCACTTTTTCCTTCACTCAAGGTGTGCACTTTAGGTGCTTGAGAGAAAAAGTTTGGTGGAAGGAGAAGGGACAACTTTAGTAGGCCAGCTCTAGTATTCTAAGAGATTATGGCTTCGCTAAGGATAATGAAACTGTAAAACTCATCTCAATAAGTGATAAGGTAAAATAATCATTTTCGCTATAAAATATTAATTATGCAAATTTTTAGGGTTTTATATATGTGTTATGAGTGACTTAATGATTATTATGCTTCAACTGTGATATTCATTAATAGTGCAATTGATGATTTATGACTTGATAATTATTTTCTTTGAATAATTAATTTATATGTCCTATTTTAGCCTCTTTCTTCACTTTAGCATGCCCTTTTTGGCACCACACACCAAAGCGTTTTAGGTGTTTAGCACCATAAGATGCATTTTACCTCTTACTACCTTGGTAGAATGCAATTAATGTACGCTCTTCGTAATTTTAAGGTCCTCAATATTAAATATTAAATTTCTTTCTTGTAGTTATCCTTGAAGGTAAAAATGATAAAGAGACGATACTACAAGATTGATCATGGAGATCGGGATGATGCCTCAGATTCATCTTCATCATCCTCTGACTTTGACCAGGAAGCTGAAGCCACTGAAGAATCAGAAGAACAAGTGATACCAACTGCGAATGATGATAATGAATCTGGCTCCACATCCTCTGGTTAGTGGATTGTTGTTTCTATAGTCCTGTCATCTCTTTAATACCAGAAGAACATGCAATTATTTTATCTCTTTATCCTATATAATGTCAGCACCATACTAACTTCCCCTTTGGGTCCTTTTTTAGTTAATTATTTCTATTTGTGTCATGTTTGGTAGCCTGTTAACTGACAAAGCTGATTTTCCTGCAGTACTGTTGCTGTTCTTAATGAAGGATAGCATAGCACCATTTTAAAATTAAAAACAGTGAATACCATAATTCATGATGTAACTGTGACTGTGCTGTCTAAATGTACATCGTTTCCCCTCTTTGTTATCGTTAGTTTAAGAATAAAACCCTATTTGGTCTCAGATATGTCTTATTTATATGTGGTTCTCATAAACCTTTATTTTTTATCAGTTTGATCCTCCACAGTTCATGTGTGCTTAAAATTTCTTTCAGTATCATTCTTCTGCGATTCTCTGTTGAAGTAATTAACATAAGTGATGACATGTAATGTTCAATTGAGTTCTCACCGTGAAGTGAGTCTATCACTAAACTTGTGCTTTTTGTTTTATTATTTTATTAAATTTTGTTATTTCTTTTCTTTTCCTTCTTCATTGCTCATTCTCCCTTCCTTCAATGTTACCAAGGTTTGCCAGTTCTCTCTCTCTCTTGCATTAGACTTTCTCTTTAACTCTTCTTGATTTCTCTCTCCTTTGTGCTTTGTTTTTTTTCCCTCGGTCTGATGCCAATTTACGGACAGAAGTTTCTGTTGTGTTTACATAATTAATCATCTCAGTGCACTGGTCGGACTTAACTGTAACTAGATTTTGATGGTTGTTTTTCCTAGCATAAGTGTCTTAAGAGATAAAAAAAGAGAACTAAAGGCTTCTGCTGGAAAACAATTTGCTTACAACAACCATTAAAGCAGTATCTTATAATGATGCTAAGTAGGGAGGTTATAGTTTCAGTTTGGAGCTTTAGGATTTCAAACCAGAGACCGTGTGCCCTAACCATCTCATCATATAATAGGCAAAGTTTATAAATATCAACGCAATAATATGCAGTGCTGCTTTCTTACTGCAAGGCCTCCACAACCATGATTGAACGTGTTTGCTTCTGTATCATACCATCAAGAATTTAGGAAATATATGTTCTTCCTGTAATGTCTGTCTTATACTTTTGGGGCAAAATAACCATTTTCCATTACTCTCCATAGAGAGACTGAGCATAAAACATGTTTCAACCTTGTATACTTCCTTCCAGCATGAATAATACCAATACGTATTGGTAACAAATAATACATTGCCACTTGGAGAAGTAATGTACATTAACCGTAAACAAGGGTCTCATTTCTCCAGGATATTGAATCTTGGGGGAAAACTGAGGAAAAGGTAAGTGGAAGCGGGTTCAGAGATGAGAGAGAGAAGAGGTAGGAGGGGAAGAGATATTCAGACTAGCCATGGTAATAATCATACGAAAGGAAAGAAGTAACATTGAACAGAAAAATGACAAAAGAATAGTTTCGGGCAGACTCATTTATGTTGACATCTAATCATCTTTTTGCAAGTTTCACCAATGGCAGGCTCATAGAAGGATGGCATCGATCAGACTTTGAAGTTTGAAATATTTCTTGAGCCAAATAGGGGTTTAGTTTAATTAAACTAACTTCTTGCATGGATGTATATTGAAGCTTTTTTGTTCTATACTAAATCTTAGGAAATGTTATTCAAACTAACTATGCAATAAGAATCGGTTTATGCAAGTGCTGGCACTTGCTATTATTCTGCACATCATTTCTTTCCTTGTTTTAAGATATCTACATCTTTTTTTAATCCGATTCAGGTTACAAAAGTGAGGACAGCTCTGCCAATGACATTGATGTCAACTCAACAGGTAGCATTTGTTTTTGTTGTCGTCTTTACTTGAATTTCCTTTGGCACAAAGCTTGGATTCAACCGGTTTTATTGTTGGACATACTGTTATCTTGATGTGCTGCCATGGACTATGCCAGTATAATGCTTTAGTGGGATGTTGATTGTTTAGTACACTCAAGTTTGAACCTTCAAATTCATTGTTTTTGTTTGCTGCTTTCTTCCATAATTTTTCTAACTGCAGAAGATTTAGTTTGTGCAGACCTTGGGTTTGAAGATGATAAAAATAGAGAAGCTTTATATGCCGGTCATTCTGTTGTGTGAAAATATTCTGTGTGCATTTGGTTAGCAGTTTTTCCACTTTCATATAGACAAAATGAACTTTAGATAATTGTTATCCTTAGGTCTACTTTTTCTTTCTTAAATGTTTGAACTTTGTCAATTGATTAGAAATAAGTTACGTCACCATTCTGTTTTAATTGTGCATGTGATTCAATGCTAATTCCTTCTGGACGTTTGTAAATATATATGGGAACAAAAAGCATGTGTTTTACCTCCTATTGTTGGAATTTAATAGGTCATCAATATGCATACTTAAATTCTTGCTAGGAATTCAATATTTATTTGCTAGGATTTGATATCTTTTGTTTTTTAAAAGTGCAGGTCAGCTATTTAGTGAAGATGATGCTGAAAAAATTGACGGAAGAAAGGTTACTGCTAATGCAGAGCTGTTTGGCAAACATCATTCTGAAGTATCAGTGAGAAAGTCTAATATCGACGGTGAACAGAAATGCTTGCCAGAAGATATCCCATCCCATATCTTAAAATGCAAATCAGTTTTCAAGTGCAGAATTTGCCCTAGGATTATCTGTTTGTCTGAAGAGACTTTGAGGGCTCATTTACAATCAAAGGTTACAAACAGACGATATTTTCAATTTTTCGTCTATCTCATGGATATTTTCTCCATAAAATGTCAGTTGTAAAATTCATATATTCACTGGGATTCTAATTAGATATCAATGACCTTTAACCAGAGAAATCCGAGGATAATACTGTTCATAAGATTCATATGTTCCTACCATTATGCGTGCTGGATATTCTATCCTAGGTTTTGAGCCTTCCTTTCTATAGAAAAAAGAGATCAAATTGGCTTCACATTTTGATTTACCCTCTAGATGATCTTTCACCTATCATTTTGCAATGATCTGTTGGTGATCTTTGTATGACTTGTCCTTGTTGTAGAGGCATGCTCGATCCCAGAAATTACTCAGCGAAGGGAGATTGAAGGCCATGCTGAACAGTGATGGTGAAATTGAGAACCTAGAGGTTTCAGAGACGCAAACTAATACAACGGTTGGTTTCTTCACTTGTGCAATTTATCCAGAAAAAAAAAATTATCCTACTGCGTTGAAGCTGATTATGACACGCAATGAAAAGGTAAGTCATTTCCCTCTTGTATTCTTGTTTCAGGATAACCCAGAAAAGAATAGCGAAGGACAGAAGCAGAACAAGAAGAAATTGAGAAAGAAGGTAAAGATAAGATCAGTAGTCTTTCAATTATCAAGTTGATTTCTAGCTGATACCCTAAGGTTGATCAAAATTGTTTGAATGGCAGAAAAGAGACAACGCAAACAGAAGAAAAATAGGGTCAAAAGAGGGCCCTGCCAAGAGAAGAAAAAAATGATAACTGTTGTATTTTATGCTGTTACTTGTTGAGCAATTTTGCCGGCTGCAAATAGTTGCAGACCTATATGGTCTTGCATATGTTGATTTTTTTTTTTAAGAAAATTATAATTCTAATACTAATACCACAATACTTGTTTTTTTCTGGAGACTTTTTTTAAATCTAATGCCCCAGATTGGCAAATTTTGTGTTCTTTCGTTTTTTTTTTTTTTCCAATCTGATGTCTTTGGTGGAAGCACATCAATGGATTTAAATCAACGCCCCTTCAAATTGCAGTCCAGATTATCATTAATGTTAGGGAGAATTATGTTGAAATTTCACATAAAAGAATTAATTACTATAAGGTCCATTAAGAACTAAACTAAGAAAAATAACAACATATTGTGTTATCGATGGTTTTAGTTCAGTTGTTAATTGACTTTATAGTAATTAATTCTCTTATATGAGGCATGTATGTGATTCTCCCTTGATATCATTTGTAATGAGTTTGGGTAATTTTAAGGTTTATGAGAACAAGGAAAAGCAGTGTTGGTCATAGTCGATAGTGATGATGGAGTTGTTTGTATAAAATCATTATGGACTTGGCCCTAACAATTCCGTAGGCTTCGATTGGTGAAGAGGAAGAAGGCATAAAGAGGTTCAATTACAATGCTTGGTGAAGGAGAATGGGGCAGAGCTATTGTGAATGTGAATAGAGCATGTATAATGTTTAATTGAAGGAAAGGAACATTTTTGTCATTGTAACCTAATAAATAAGGGCATTGTTGTATTTGCGCACAAATTACAAATTGTACTCAAGTCCTAAGAAATTGTGCTGCAGTTTTTGAATTTCATGAAATTTATTTATAAATAAGTTATTTTCATGGAACATGTATATATTTTTTCCTTTTTAACCTGAGTGGGGTTAATTTTAATATTGAATTATTATTATTATTTTTTTTTTTGCCCAGGTCATCCACTCTTTGCACATTTAAGTGCTACAAAATCAATAAAAATTAGGTGAACTTTGTTAGAAATGGTGTCCATGACGCTAGCTTGAATCCGAAAGGATTGATTCTTCACACTGCTTAATGCAAAATCTTTAAGGAACAATATTTGAGTTGAGCTTTGAGAAATTGCATAATCCGCTTTTTCATATTTGTAAAATGGAAAATTCCACAATTCAAAGTGGTGTGAGCAGTAAATGCTCTTTTCATTTAAGTGAAGGTTAGGAGTTGTATATGTAATCACCTCATTAGAAAACGTCCATCATTTGCTCTAGTATCTCAAGAGGCTTCTCTCTCTCTCTCTCTCTCTCTCTCTCTTTGTGATTGAAAAAAGATGAGCCATTACGTTAGTTAAAAAAGACAAGATACAATCGAAGGAAAGACAACCAAAAAAAGAAACAAAACAGCAAAACCTTTCAAAATCCACCCCCTCCTAATTAGAAAAGGGTAGATGATGAAAGGTGTTGAAAGAACTAGTAGAAGTTACACTAGGCCTAATACTATTCCTAATATAATCACTAATATTTTCATAAGAAAAATTATAGAGACATTCCAATCTTTCATAAGAAATCTTCAGGCTTGCAAAATAGCAACGTACAGTTGACTATTTGTAGTGCAGTCTCGAGTCAGGGAATAAACCCTTCCATCAATCTTTATCCTTTCTCCCAACGCCACTCCAATCCGCGGATTAAACCCTCAATCATAACAGTACCCACATGTGGATTGGCACTGTTCTATAAAAACTAGCATCCTATTTCTTTTCTTTATTCCAGATTGCAACAGCATAGCTAAAATTCTCCCTTCCTCCTTAAAAATCCTTAGTTGTGTCAATCTTATCAGAAAAACTAAAGTGTAACAGTGTGAGCATCCTAAGTCATTCTATCCCCAAGAAGTAAGAATTTTGTAACCAAATCAAGTCAATGATCATGATAAATTAAAATTTCAGAATTGAATTGAAGATTTTAAAAAAGAATTTAGATGTTTATATTTGATTTTAATGTGAAGAAAATGTATAGGAATTAACCAAATATCAAAGTAGCTTCTCAAGATTAGAATCTACCATTTCCATCCTTGTTCTTCCTCGCCTAGTTTTAGATTTAATTGCCTTCTTTAATGGGTGTGTGAAGGTGTTTTAATGACCATCAAGACTAGGAAATAGTGATTAAAACCTAATAAGTACTTAGAATCCAATGCACAAACCACCCAAGACAGATACATCAATATGTAACTCAATTCTTGAAACTAGTCTTATCTCTTGCCTTGATCATGTTTAAGACCTTAAACCAACCAGGATTATGATATTAACCAAAGCTTAAGACCTAAACTATGGCTAATTGTGCAGCAACATAGCAAGAGATTGAAAAGAAATTATGTATCCATTCATCAAAATCTTGAGGCATAAACACAAACATTTAGGGTGCACAATTAGTTCAAGAATCAAATACGCATAATCTCCTCTTTGAAACATGAATTTTAGTCATAATGATTAATATAAGACCTAAAATCAATCATTAAGAGCATGAATTATAGAATTAAAGAAGGAGAAGAGAAGAATTTAAAGCAATTAAAAGTAAGAGAAAAAGTTCAAGAAAACTCAAGATGTGGCTTCATTTTTCTTGAAAAGCTTTGAAAATATAGCCTTTCATGGTGAATTCTCCTTAAATCTAAGTTTGAATTCTTCTCGAGATGACTTTCATGGCTTCAATACTTGCTTGAGATGAAGGAATGTGGCTAGGAAAGTATGGAAAAATGGAGGAAAATGAGAGAAAATTTGGATGAAGTGGTGCTAGAAATTTCAAAAAAGTGAGTGAAAATAGGTGTGAAATGTAATGTGAAAAATGAGTGAATGAGCGTGTGCACGACCCAAAACCCTTATATTCAGCTTGTGATGGTGTAAAATCAGTAGGATAGGATGGGGTTTAAATGATCAAAGTAATTAAATATTTGAAACTACTTAACAAATTTGGTTAAGAGGTTCAAGAATGAATGTGGCCTCCATTCAAGCTATGTAAACTTGGATACACATGTAATTCTTGTAGGATACTCCACACTTGATTAGAACTCACTAAACACTTCCAAAAAGATTATCAAAGGGTGATTAATGGTTGCTTAGTCAAAATCCTCAATGCCTATCTTGCACATGTGTCACTCTAAGGTTTTCTTGCTTTGTAGTTTTCCTTGTAATCTAATATTTTGGCTATTTAATCTTCATCCAACTTCTTGTTTGCATTTGCAATTATACACATAAGAATGATTAAAGCATGTATGCATTCAAATGAAAACTCAGAGTCAATTGTAAGATATAATGCCATTTTCAAAGTCCTAAGTTATAAAACATGACAACTTAGTATTAATGTTTTTTTTCTTAAAAAGTCCTACAGCTTATGTCTTTTGATGTCCTTTTATAATTTAGAATGAATCTGAATCGCAAACTTATTTCATTGATTTTAGGAAGATAAAAGACAAAAATAAGCTAATGTCTCAAAATTTTTCAAAAATTATCAAAATGACCAAAATATCTCTAGGTTATGAATAAACCCTAATTATGTAAGAATTAATCCTCCAAGAATATCATCCTTAAATGTATGTAAATAATGCAATATGTTACTCCTGCTTGCACCTACTACCTCTAGATTCACGGTCCAATTTTCATGTTGGTTTTGGACATTACAATCTCTCTTCTCACTACTCTGCTTATTCATGCATTCTAGTAATTTTCTATCTCGGATAGCTTTATACAAGCTAGTTTCAGCATTTACCTAATGATCAAGTCTCATTTTCAAACAAAAATTTACATCGGGCAAAACAAACATAAGCAAGTAAAATTTTCCCCCGCCTTTTTCTCCAGGTTCCACGCTATCCATTGTGTAATGTTACCTCGCTCAGGGAGGCTTCTTTATTAGCAGAGGATACTCGATTCTCCTTGTATCTCAAAAAAAGAATTGAAAATTCTATCCCCCAAGTTAAAGACTTGGATCATGTCCATTTCTTGGAATCGAAATAAGTGGTATAAAATATACACTCAAGCCTCCATCCTGGCTTACCTGTCACAATGCGTTAGGATTATCAAAAAATTACAACTAGATGAAAAATAAAATTTGACAATATGTTAACGTTGTTAACAAGAATAATTTTCTTTAAATATGAAGACTTTTTTGAAAAAAATAAAACTTGACAATATGTTAACCTTGTTAACAAGAATATACAATCAATAGTTTTTTTTAAAATAATTTTCAGCCGAAGTTAACAAGAAATATGAATACTTTTATCCATTTGGCGTTGGCATTATAAATATTCAATTTTGTAAATGAGAATAACATAAGGGAAAATTTCACTAAGGACCCCTTGATCATAGATAATGAAAAAGAGGACTCTAAGATTTTTGATATTTCACTGCAAGGCTTGGGACCTGATTTAATATTAAATTTCTAAGCCAAATGACAATATTGCCCATCCTCATTTAAAAAAAAAAAGAAAGAAAAGCTAAAGTTCAATAAAGAAAGATAGTGGAAGAGATAGATGGATGCATGAGAACACTCTTTCTCTCATTGCCCCCTTTTCTTTCTTCACTCAAGTACTGGCAACTTGTTTGACTTTGTCTAACACCTCAATTTTATTTTTCATAGTGCTTCTACTCATTCTTTCTCTCTTCATAACAAGATGACGAGTCTTATGAAAGTCATACAAAGTGATTCTTTGATTTGCGAGTGACTTCTCTATAGTTTTTACTCGAGCCATCTTCTTCAAAAAGCCAGACATATGATTAGATTGAATCAAAAACTTGAGAGGTTTACTAATATATTAGGTTGGGGGTTTTTGGTCAAGAAAGTATTTAGGAGATAATCACAGAGGAAATTTGGTTTTGGTAAAGAGATGATGATTATTGGGTTGAGAGAATTTGAATTTCCTACCAATAGGATTTCAAGATATGGGTAAGAATGAGATAAAATCATCTCTTATAACACGTAAAGTCATACTAAAATGTTACCAATTTATTGGTATGAAAAAGTAGCTGTTGGAAGTAAATTTTAAATGAAAGGATGGGATTAAAAGATCAAGACAAAGAAAACATACATGTCATACTAGCATATCTCTAAGATACTAGTATGTGTAGTTCATACCGGTATGAGCATAGGTTTCTATAATAGACTCTATCATACCAGTATATTGTGTTGATACCTGTATGAGTTATTTATATCAATATGTACGAGTTCTATGGGTATGAGTTTAGGTTTCACCTGACTTAAAAATTATTTGTTGCCCTACTTTGTGTGGTTCATCACACCAAGACATCTTATTAATTTCGTACATCACTTGTTCATTACAATTGTAGGTTTCTATAACAACCTCTATCATACCGGTATATTGTGTTGATACCAGTATGAGTTATTCATACTGGTATGTACTAGTTCTACTGGTATGAGTTTGGATTTCACCTAACTTTAAAATTTCCAAGTGACTGGTTCATCGCCCTATTATGTGTGATTCATCACCTATGGCATCTTGTAATTCCCTTACATTACTTGTTTGTTACAATTATGGGTTTCTATAACAACCTTTATCATACCAATATGTTGTGTTGATACCTGTATGAGTTGTTCATAACAATATGTACTAATTTTATCAGTATGAGTTTGGATTTCACCTAACTTAAAAAATTTCAAGTGACTTGTTCATTGCCTTATTATGTGTGATTCATCACCCTACGATATCTTATTAATTTTTCTACTTCACTTGTCCATTAAAATTATGGGTTTCTATAACATACTCTGTTATATCGGTATATTATGTTGATATTGGTGTGAGTTATTCATACTTGTATATACTAGTTCTACTAGTATAAGTTTGGGTTTCACCTAACTTAAAAAATTTCAAGTGACTTTTTCATCAGCCTACCATGTGTGGTTCATCACCATACAACATCTTATTAATTTCCTTATCGTACTTGTTCATTATTGCATTTACATGAAAAGTTTCAAGTATTGGTTGATTTCATATTTAAATGACTTGTTCGTCATCATACTGAGTAAAGTTCATTACCTTGTGATATGTTAATTTCTCTACCTAACACATTCATTACAACACTCTGAATGGACATAGAACTATATATTTATAGTTCATTTTTCTGTTAAATGTAGTTGCAAATGAACATAAATAACTAATTCATTCTTATCCAATGACTTGTTCATATATACATGAAAAGAACAATTTTAAGGAATTTCATGATAACAATAACATGGAAAAAATTATAACATTAACATTGTTAGTAATTGGAGCAAGTAATACAACTTCACCTCTTCTTGGCATTGTTACTTGCAAAGAGTTGTAGCATGATATCATGCTTGGAGTTCTCATAGTTCTCATCCAATGGAGTTGCAAAATCCCATGTGAGCTTCTCTTTTTAAGGTTAACTCTATCATTAACTCACTGCTCTATCCACTTCATAACTAGTTCTACATTAGAAAATCTAGTGATGAGATCTAAGGCAATGACCAACGTAGTAGTGGCTCGTTCAACCAAGATTCTTGAATAAGAAGTCCGACGAAAAAGGTTTCAATGATAAACTTTGTGAATTTCATTATGTGCCTTGTCTTCTACATGCTTGCAATGCTTGCAAGATGTGTATGCAAGACATTTTTTCTTCCTTGATAGATTCTCACCATGAAGGCACTTTTGTCATTTAGCTTTCAAAATTCATACCAAAGTAAGCCCCAAACCTTACAGTAAAATATCAAAAATCTTGAAGTCCTCTTTTTCATTAGCTATGATCAAAGGATCCTTAGTGAGATTTTCCCATAATATAATCAATTCAACTTCCTTTTTATTCTTACATTATTTTCATTTAATTAAATGCAGGATTGGAATAAGTACCTTTTTTTCATGACTTAATAATAACATAAACGCTGGCCTCAAAATCTCACCCATCAAAACTTGTCCACCTTTCCACTCAAATTATTCCCACATAACAACCGAGACTTAAATTTATCAAGGAACAAGATGATCTTGCAAATGATCTCTTTTTGTGTATCTTCTAGCTAGTCTCAATATATGTGATGCAAAGATGAAATTTGTTGAAGTTTCTATATGTAGACATCGTATAAAGCAAGAAAGTATTGAAAGAGAAAGGGACTATGAGTCCTAAACCTTGTGTTTATCTCTTCCAAAATGAAATTTCCTGCCAGGAACTATAGGGAGTCCACATTAATGAAATTCCAAGCTGGAAATAGCAAATATTAAGTCTGCCGCACAGCAAAAGTGGATAGATAACAGCCATCGTGGATCAAACGAGAATTGGGAGATCATGATACTTGAAAACAATGTGCATTTCCCTCTTAGATTACAAAGCAGGAAGGATTAGTCTACAACAGGGATATTGAAAGAAATTGGATTTTGACAATCAGGGCTTTTGAAAAAGCACAAGCAGGTTTTGAGCCCTGTGGTTCAGTTACTGATTCCACAATATTGCACTATCTAACAATTTTGATGATCTTGAGCTCATCATGACACCCCTGATGTTGATATTTTGAAGCATATATTTCGACTGCGAAATTCCATGGCTCAAATTGAGATGGTTTGGTGAGTACCTGCAAATTGTTAAGATTCCTTCTCATCTGGGGGAACTTGATCAGGAAATGCAAGCGGGTCTTCTCCATTTCTATCTTTCTGATCAGGCGGTGGGGGTTGGTCCCCACTCTGATTGTTTTCTGGATGGAAATTGATGGGGAACTTAGTGACCCTCGGTTTATCGGATAAAATGTTCCTTTGAACCCTATCAATTATAACCTTAGGTGGGGGTTCCTCTCTTAATTGCTCATCATCATAATCATTGTTCACATAGTATCCCACTCTAACAAATTCTTGGCTCAGATAAGAGCAGGTCAACAAGAGCACTGTGACGCCAATGATATCTTCTTCACGAATCTTGGATGGGTCTGGTGGGTCTGCCTGCAAATTGTCAAACGAATTTAGAGATTGAATTCACATGATCATCTGAACAAAAAGTTTCCAGGAGAAAATTAATACTATGCATAATACTTGCCTGCAATACAAAGCGATAGTTTCCAACATTGACAGGGCCAACAAGTACACTCTCTAATAATTGGTCATACGTTTCATCCTCAGCAGATCCAACATATATGAGCTTCCATTCCAAATCTATACTCAGGTGACACAACACGTATTATTACAACCAAACTGGTTACAGAAAATAATCTTATTGACAAGAAAAGATGACTGTAAATTTCTGTAAGTTTATGCATTCAAGGAGGTTTACAAGTGTAATATGCAATTTCCACGTTCTATAAAATTTAATTTTCAGCAAATCAAGTGGCAGCAAAAAATATATTACATTACTCTCAAAGATTTGGAACAAGCAATAAGTAATGAATAGTTTTGTTAGTGAATCAGAATGAAACAATGCTTCACCAGGATTCAGGAATATGCACAAAACCAAAACTAGACAATTCTATGAGCATAACCAGGCGTGTTGTTATTGAATAAGCTTCGCATCTATAGCCTATGGGTGCTTGATAGATTGAAAGAACAGAGTGGCTTGAAATTCCTTGACAATTCGATACTAAACAATAGAGCTGATCTAATTTGGCATTACTTGTATCAAGATCATAAATATCACAATTCAAAAGTAATAATGAAAGACAAGTGGAGAACGCACCAAACGCAGTTGGCCCAACTAGTGGCTATTTTAAAAGTCAAGAACCATAATGGAGGTGATTAGGAGTCCTAGGATGCACCCACTACATAGATCACAAATGCCCCACCAAAAATGAACTTGAGTAAGAGAACAATAGAGATCCACAATTATTGTAACCAATCAAATTTAGCTGGCACCAAGCTAAATAGACTGAGATAGTTGTCAAACTATATTCTCATCCACAAAATATTTTCAGAATGCAAACAAATTAAAAATAGACAGACAACACACAGCAGGAATTCCAAACCACCTCATTTTCTTTTTCAGGCGCATAGAAGCAAGAAGGATTGAATCCAAGACCACCAACATACAACCTGACTGCCTCACCAGTTATCGCACTATCTGGTTTCCACTTCACAGTGTATGAACATAATCTCAAAGTACCGCTATAGTAACAGTAAAATAAGAAGCATTGTTTGTTTAGTATATCTGAATCATTTTTCTGTTGACATTTCAATATGATAATGATAACTTCTCTCTGACACCACCCTCGGATTTGCAATCATATTGATACAACGCCCAAACTGAAGACAAAGATAAATGCTATTCTGCAGTAATATTAATAAACCAGAAAGGCAATTCCTATCCAGCTAAAAGGACAGTCAAAGATTAAGGAACTTAATCAAAGCATTAAACAGTATCATTCCATGTAGATATTCAAGACTTGAAAAATCAAGTCCTAGTTCAGCAATGCTGTAAAAGAATAGATAAAATTCAATGAGCCAAAATGACGTACACTTTCAGAGACTAATTTAAATTTTGAAGATACATGCTGGATTCATGGAAGTAATTAAGCTTCCAAGTTAGAAGGATTCAAGGCCTAAAATATGCCTCATTATGATACGTCTCAAACAGGCATTAACTATTATTTCACAATAAAAAGGGGAAAAAATTCAACTATTTCTCAAAAAATTGTTTCAAGGATCAAATTTTCAAGAAGCATCAGGGACATTGGGTCCACCAACGCATATGATCTGGTTTCAGAATGACATATTTTTACAATAAAGATAAAGAAGACACTAATATTTAGAATTCCTTTCCTGCACACATCTAAATACAAAGTATACTTATATCAGCAAGATAGGGGGGAAAAAGTATTCCACAATACTAAGGCCCTATTTAGTACGTGGCCTTGATTTTTAAGGGATTGGTAGTGGTAATAAGTTTTAAAATTGTGTTTGGTATGACATTGCATTAACAAAAAAAACAAGACTCAGATTTATCCCAAAAAATAGCAACAAGACAATATTGCCCTAATTTTTTTTCTCTTCTTCATCCTCTCCTCTCATGCCCGCTAACCAAATTCATCACCATCATCATTATTCTGGCTAAAAGTGGGGATGCTTTTGATGAACCCAAATTATTCTTCTTCATCATTCTTCCCGCTAACTCCGCCTATGTTTATAGCCGGTCCCAAGCCCGGGTAAAGGAGGAGGGTTGTGTTAGGCCATCAACAGCCAATGTAAAAATTTGTTGAATCTATCATGAACATGGACAATAGACGTTATAATGTTAATGCTAGGTCGTTGCCCGTAAGTAACGCGCTGCATGGCTTGAGTACAGTGATAAGTGAGTTAAAGCCGCTGCATCGGCGCCCGGATGTAGTGTTAAATGAGCAAGGGCTACCGCGTCATTCTGGACGCACACGGCTAAAGAAGTTAGTCCATAAGAGCAAAATTAGATTTGGTACTTGGAATGTTGGGACATTAAATTGTAAATCTGTAGAGGTTGTAGGGGTTATGATTCAAAGGAAAATCAATATCCTTTGCTTGCAAGAAACAAAATGGCGTGGAGAAGAAGCTAAGGATATTCAAGGTTTCAAACTTTGGTATACAGGAAAAGTAAGTGCACGCAATGGAGTAGGCATCATTATAGATAAGGAGTGGAAGAAGAATGTTGTAGAAGTTAGCAGAATTGGAGATAGAATTATTTTTTTAAAAATGATAATTGGACGTAAGACTGTTAATATTGTTAGCGCTTATGCGCCGCAAGTCGGGACAGAAGCCAGTCTTAAGGAATTATTTTGGGAGGATCTGGAGGGGTTGATTCGACACATACCACAGAGTGAAAAGATTTTTATTGGAGGAGACTTTAATGGGCATGTCGGCAGGGAAGCTGGTCAGTATGCGAGGGTGCATGGTGGTTTTGGTTTTGGAGAGCTAAACAATGAAGGACAAACTCTTCTTGATTTCTCATTGGCGTATGATTTTAAGATTGCCAACACTTGTTTCAAGAAGAGAGATGAGCATCTCATCACTTACAAAAGTGGAGCCTCAAGGTCACAGATTGATTTTCTTTTGGTTAGAAACAGATAGAAAACTTTGTAAAAATTGTAAGGTGATCCCCGGAGATGCTGTAACGACACAACATAGGGTCCTAGTCCTTGATGTGTGTATTATGAGTAAAATCCAAAAACATCGACACGTAGTAACACCAAGGATTAGGTGGTGGCAATTAAAAGGTGAGAAGCAAGATATTTTCAAGCGAAATCTTTTGGATAAAGGAATTTGGGATTCTCAGGGAAGTGCTAACATCATATGGGAGGATATGGCTAAAAAGATACGGGAGGTTGCAAAAGTAGTTTTGAGAGAATCGAAAGGTTCTGGTCCTAGAGATAAGGAGTCTTGGTGGTGGAATAATAGTGTACAGGACAAAATCAAGTATAAGAAGAACTGTTTTAAAGCCATACATTTGTGTAACAATGAGGAAAATTGGGAGAGGTACCGTATGGCTAAGAAGGAAACTAAGAGAGCTGTGAGTGAAGCTCGTTCTAAAGCTTTTGAAGAATTTTATAAGAACCTTGAGACGAAGGAAGGAGAGCAAAATATTTATAAGATTGCCAAGAGTAGGGAAAGAAAATCAAGAGATCTAGAACAGGTAAGGTGTATTAAGGATGAAGAGGGAAGAATTTTAGTTACAGATGATGAAATTAAAAATAGATGGGAGACTTATTTTTCTAAACTTTTCAATGATGGAGAGAATTCATCTAGTAACTTAGAGGATTTAGTAACTGGTGAAGGAGAGCAAAATTTGTCATTCTATCGAATAATACGTGATAAGGAGGTAAAGGAAGCTCTTAAGAAAATGGCAAATGATAGAGCCAACGACCTGATTGTATATCTATCGAAGCGTGGAAATATTTAGGTGAAGAAGGAGTGAGATGGTTAACTAAGTTATTTAATGTGATTTTACGGTCCAAGAAAATGCCTGATGAGTGGAGGAGAAGTACATTAATTCCTATTTATAAAAATAAAGGAGATATTCAGAATTGTACTAACTATAGAGGGATTAAACTCATGAGCCACACAATGAAATTGTGGGAGAAAGTAATTGAGCACAGGTTGAGATTGGAGACAAGTATTTCTGAGAATCAATTTGGTTTTATGCCAGGTAGATCAACTACAGAGGCGATTTATCTACTACGAGGATTAATGGAAAAGTATCGTTGTAAAGATAAAGATCTACACATGGTTTTTATTGATTTGGAAAAAGCTTATGACCGTATACCAAGAGAAGTGCTTTGAAAGCGTTGGAAAAAAAGGGAGTACGGATTGCTTATATTAAAGCCATACAAGATATGTATGAGGAGGTAAAAACTAGTATAAGAACACCTAGTGCTCAAACAAAGGATTTTCTTATAAAGATTGGACTACATCAGGGATCATCTCTGAGTCCTTATTTGTTCAACTTGATTTTAAATGTTTTGACGGAACATATTCAAGAGGAAATCCCGAAATGTATGCTCTTCGCGGATGATATAGTTCTTATAGCAGAGACAAGAGAAGAGGTTAATTGCAACCTTGAGTTATGGAGGAGGACATTGGAGTCGAAAGGTTTTCGTCTGAGTAGAAGTAAGACGGAATATTTATATTGTAAATTTGGTAAAGGACTATTCAAAAATAATTTGGAAGTGAAATTGGGAGATCAAATTATATCTCAAGTGGAAAAGTTTAGATATTTGGGAGCCATTATTCAAAATGATGGCGAAATCAATGGAGATATTTCACATAGAATTTAAACTGGGTGGTTTAATTGGAGAAAAGCTAAAGGAGTTATTTGTGACCGTAAGGTGCCTAATAAACTTAAAGGAAAGTTTTATCGCACTGCTATCAGACCGGCAATGTTATATAGTCGTGAATGCTGGGCTCTAACGGGACAGCAAGAGCATAAAGTTGGAGTAGCAGAGATGAGAATGTTACGATGGATGTGCGAACATACACGTAAAGATAAAATTCGAAATGAGCACATACGCGAAAAAGTGAGGGTGGCACCTATTGAGGAAAAAATGGTAGAAAATCGGTTGAGATGGTTTGGGCATGTACAAAGAAGAGCAAGGGAGGCACCAGTGAGAAGAGTGAAACATATAACTTTGAGTCCGATTAAGAGAAGTAGAGGAAGGCCTAAGAGAACACTCTTGAAAGTTGTTGAACGTGATCTCTAAATTAATAATATTCCTAAAAGCTTGATAAATGATAGAGCACAATGGCGTCTTGCAATCCATATAGCCGACCCTACCTAGTGGGATAAAGGCTTGTTGTTGTTGTTGTTGTTGTATCATTCTTCCCGCTAAAAGTGGGAATCATTTTGATGAACCCAAATTCCATTGCTACTTGAACTTACATTTTCCACATTCATCCTCCTCAGCCATTACCTTTGCCACCATCAAGCTCGCTAGATCTGGACCAAGGAGGTAGAGGGTTGCCGTCGAGCAAATCGGGACCTAGGAGGGAGAGGGGTCGTGATTGAGCTCACCATATCTGAACTTGCATAACCAAATCCGAACAAATCTAGGGATGCCAACACAAACGAGCTCACCAGATCTGATCTTTCAGAATGTCAGTGATGAGAACGGACATGGAGTGGAGAGCAGACGCTGCTCACACTTCACTCAAACAAGGAGTTACAGATGCTGACCCATCAGGGAGTGACAGCAACGCAAGGATAGCTGATGGACAAGAGGGCAATTTGGTCTGAAATTATGTAGTCTTGGGACTGATTTCCCATGTAGATGGGATTGGGATTGGGTAATCCCATGTAAATGGCATTGGGATTGGAATTAAATCTCCCATTGCCTCATACCAAACATGAAAAATTGGTATTAGTCAATCCCAATGAGCAGTTACATTACACAAACACCACAGAAAACCTATGTAATAAATATGGCCTGGAATTAACTAGGTATAATATCATGAAACAACAGAATAGATAGGCCCCAATCGCACTGCATACAGTACTTTATAAACCATAGTGCAACAACACAATAAGTCTTATTTCACTAGATAAGGTTGACTATATGAATTGCACAACGCCATTATAGAGCAAATACAGGAATTTGTGGTTTGGAGAATCAATCATTTATGAGCAGAATTCGTTAGAACATATACATGAGACCAAAACTAGACAGCATTGATGTCCACAAAGGGAAATTCGATGGTTTAATCTACAAATTCACCGATGTGCTCACACTAGCTTAAGTTCCAACAATTTTTGGGATCAAGATTCTATTAGCTACACCACCATTATCCTTTTTTCAAAACCAGCAGCGTTTCATTATCCTTATTCAAAACCAGCAATAGTTCGGCAATGAAAAATCTCAAAACCGCCAATGTTGATAATCTCAAGTGAGTATTAACACGAAGTCACATTCATTCATCACAAGGTTCATTTATATATTGATTTTTGATTTACCAGCTAGTCAAAATGATCCTAAAACAGGCCACAAGACAAAACCTCAGAGCATGGAACCATTTCGCTTTTACTAACCTCAGGCTACAAGACTAACCCATTGGTTAAGAGAACAAATGAAAAACCCTAATCTCAAGTTTCAGAGCTGGGTCATTAAAAGAGGAATTTCTTGATGAAAGAACACATTTTATTATGATTTATTTATTCAATTAATTTAAGATCGTAAAGAAAAGTAACCCTAACCTAAACTTACAGATGGGGAACGACCGGTAATATAATCTTCAAAATAAAAAGAAGCAACGAACGAGGGAAAATGAGAGATGAAACAAATACCGTCTTTCAGGGGAGTTAAGCACTCGTATGAGATCTCGAACTGGAAGGGGGTCAAAAACGAAGCAGGGTTGTCAAGGACCGTCACGTTGGTGATGTTGACGGCACTCATAGCTTCGAATCAGAAGACCATGGTAACACAAGAAGTTGAAGATGAAGGTTCAAGCAGAAACACAATCCGGTCGAAACCCCATCTTCCAGAATCTTCATCTACCAGAGAGAAATGAATAAAGGTGCGACAGATGGAATTGGAGCAGAGATGAGAAGAGACCAATTCAGAAATGCAGAGAAGCTTTCTGATTTGGGCGGCCTTGCGTTTGAGAAAGAAGGAACTACAAGCAACTTTTAGGAAGAATTACACGTTGCCCAAAACTTCTTATATTTCCCATGGAATCTTCATCTATCCATATTACTCTACGGGAAAAAACAACTTTAAGTCATTGTTTTTATTTTATTTATTAATTTAATCTTTAATTTTTTTAAATTATCATATTAATTTTTAAATTTTTAAAACATAAATTATCTTTTAAATTAATGTAATATAAAAATAATTAATTTGTAATTTAAATCCTGAACAATAAGTCAAAAGATGATTTAAACTCTAAAATTTTAAAAAATATATTTTAAACTCTAAACAAATAAAATTAAAATAATTTTGTTCTACCATTAAATTTAGATAAATGACAGTTAAAATGAGACATGATGTGTGATTTTTTAAATGAGCATAGGAGAGAGTGAAAGTGAAATTTAATAAAAATAACACATTATACTCCACCATTAAATTAAAACAAACAACCATTAACATGAGTCATAATGTGATTTTTTTTTAAATGAGGGTAGGATAAGGAGAAAGAGGGAAGCTTAGTACAAGATACATAATATAACCTAATTTTAAAAAAATTAATAGATGTTTGTTGAAATTTAAATATGAGGGTAAAATTATCCCAACTTTAATTATTTAAAGTTTAAAATATGCGTTTTAAAAGTTTAAAGTTTAAATCATCTTTTAAAATTTAAATTACATATTAACCCTATATAAATATATTAATGGATTGGTATGTATACATTTAAATTAAATTTGTAGATTGATAAAATAAATTTTGAGAAATTAGTTGTCATTAGTCAAGTGGCTTTTGTTATTCCTTGAAATAAATAATCATTGTCTTAATCATATTCACCTCACGAGATCAATAAACTTGTAAACTGATAAGATAAATTTTGGAAAATTACTTGCCATTGATCAAGTGTTTTTAACCCCGGTGAAACAAAAGTAGACATTGCCTTCACCATTACAATCATTCAACTCCTGAAATCAATAAACTTGTAGACTAATAAAATAATTTTTATGAAATTAATTACTACTGGTTAATTTCTAGTCATTCACTAAAACAAAGTAGTTATTAACTTATTATCATAAATATTACAATCATTCAAACTCTAGAGATCAATAAACTTCAAATAAATTTTGGAAAGTTAATTGTCGTTGGTTAAGCATTTTTTGTCATTCGCTGAAATGAAATAGTCATTGTCTTAGACATTACAGTCATTCAATTCCAGGTATTAATGAACTTTTAAACTCATAACATAACTTTTGATAAATTAGTTGCCTCAACAAAATTCATCGCCTTAACTATTATTGATATTCAGATCAAGGGATCAATAAACTGATAAACTAATAAAATAAATTTAGGAAAACAAGTTGTCCCTGTTAAACTTTTTTTTTTTTTTTTTTGTTTCGATCGTTGTCATGCTCATTAAAGTCATTCAACATCAAGGATTAATAATTCTCCAACCACCGTAGCCCTTGGCTGGTGAACTGTGGTGGTTTATTTTATTTTATTTTACTTTATATGGACAATATGATAATTTTCCAAAAACAATCATGTCAAAGTGTTGGAATATTAATTGTTAATCATAATTAGTTGTTACTTAATTATGGTTAGCTGTTAGCCTTATAAAGAGATAAAAGTTACTTCTCTAATCCTATTTATAGATCGCTTCCAACATGTTTTATCAGTATAAAAAAAACTTTAAAATTCATTAACTCTGTCTTAAAATTTAATAAGTTATCAACTTTGTCCCTATTAAATACACACACTTTAATAACATATTTTCTCTTTCTAACATTTAATAGAGGGTAAAAAAAATATATGATACAAATTTAGTGACGTAACTGATAAATAAAACCAAAATTTTTTCTCTCTTTGCCTTATAAATAAGACTAAAGGGAGTAGGCATTTAGATAAGGGAGTTTAATCCTACATAAGATAAGAAGGTTAAAATGATCCTCTCTTCATATTAGTCCTCATGTTTAAGATTTGATCATCATTTAAGTGGGTTGATTTGAGTTATGATCCTTCAAGTGAAGGAATGTCGAGTGGCTTTGCAATCATTGTTATTGTTTGATGAAAAGGTTTTTCATTAATATTCATTTCTCTCGGTTCTTAACAGGCAGGATCTAGGGACTTTGAAATAATTATTTAGTTCACGATTTCTTTCTATCATTTGTTTATTTTAAAGGATTTTTGTGTCATTTTCTTGAATGTTTTTTGAAAGAAAAATGTTTATTATTGGACAATAAATAACTATAAATAAACCTTGACAAATAAACGGGTAGAAAAATTGAACCTAGAGCTTCTAGAAGAGGGAAAATTACACTTAAACTCCAATGCATTCTAAAATATATTCTGCAAGCTCAAGGGTCTTTTTGTAAATATGTTTTAGAGAGATAAGATACAATTGCCCTTAGGTTCACCATCCATCGTCAATTACTTATTAATATATATGAACTTAAAATTATAAGTTTGTGAATATCTGATAAAAATCTGACCTTACTATAGAGCCGATAATTCGAGCCAGTTAGGCTTATTCGGATTGAACTTAAAGTATTATACCATTTTGAAAAAGCCCATATAGTCAAACTCGGTCCTAACTTTTTTTAACTAGATTCAGGTTGGGCTATCAGGCTTGGCTAAAATTACTGACTTTACATATATATAAAATCAAAAATTCAAACGATTGGGCTCAATTCGGGCCGAGTATATTCGGATTGTACTTAAAGAATCTTACTCTCTTAAAAAAAAACCCATAAAGCTAAGCCCTACCCTAACTTTTTTTTAGGGGTTCGAGTTGGCATGTCGAACTTGGCCCAAATTATCGGCCCTACGGTTTATTGTCACAATGAACCTTAGTTCTAAATATATAAAATTATAAATTCAAGACTTTAACTTATAAATAGATAAACCTATACTTGTAAATAATTGAACTTTAAGTTGTAAATTTATGAGCTTGGTTAACAAAACTTATCATATCTAAATAAGAATTTCACTAACAATGGACAATTACTTGTTAATATGTAAATCTAAAATTTTGAATTTGTCAACATGTAATTGTAAAAATTTAAATTTGTTGTCACGATGAACCTTAATTGTGAATATAAGAAGTTATAAATTTTAGATTTTGACTTGTAAATAGAAAAACTTGTACTTGTGAATATTTGAATTTTATGTTGTAAATTTGAAAACTTGGCCAACACGAACTTGTCAATTATGAAGAAAAATTTCACAATGAATAAATAATTACTTGTTAACATATTATCTTAAAGTTGTGAATATGTGAACATCTTGTTATAAAAATTTTAACTTTTACTTGCTACCTTTTCTTGCCAAGGGTAATTGTATTTGTTTTTCCTCCCTAAAACATATTTGTAAAGAGACCCTTAGGCTTAAAGAATAATTTCAGGGTGCATTAAGTCCTCAGTACAATTTTTCTCCTTTGGTGACCCTAGGTGCAATTTTTGAATGAAAATGAAGCTCTATAAAAAACAAAGGAAACGGTAAAAAATACAAACCCAAAAAAGGGCACCACCTTTCACAATCTACCTTAATTGAGTGGGTTGAAAGTAAAAGATACCAAAAGAATTATGGTTATGCAAACCATTCTTAGGTGCGATTTTCACGAGGGAAAAGAGTACACAAAAATGTGATAAATATAAAAAAAAATATAATTTTAAGTCCTTATATTTTAATTGTATTTTGTTATTAGTCTCTATACTTTTTTTCAATGTTTTTTATCTCTGTATTTTTATTCATTTTTTATTGTTTTAAGTCTAGCTATGAACAAAGTATAAGGATTTTAAAGGATCTAAAACAATAAAAAATGAAAGTACAAGGATTAAAAATACTTTAAAAAGTACATAAACTAATAACAAAATACGATCAAAATATAGAGGCATAAAGTTATGTTTTTCCTAAATACAATTACTAAAAATTAATTTAAATTAGGGCTAGGTAATGAATGGTTAAAAAAAAAAACCTTGTTAAAACCAAACCTCAGATCAAGAAAAGGCTGACACGCCATTTCATTTCCATATTCATTCTGGTTGTCCATGAACACTTCTCCCTCACAATGTTGTAAGTGAAATGGTTGAATAATTGGTGTGTCCAATTCTAAAGGCACCATTCCATTGAAAAACTGTAGTATATTCACATCATTAGAGTACCTTGTTCAAAATCTCCCTCCCAACCATCCATATCATATCAGATGTGTAAAATGGACAGCCCAAGTCAATATATTGAAACAATCATGTTCAAAGTACTCTTAGTACTAAATGTACGCACGGGACAACTCTTTTAACATAAATTCAAACACTAATTTACTATATTGTAAGGAATTAGCTTCTTCTACTACTAGACTCAACTCGTATTGGTTTTATAATTATAAGCTAAATCTAAAGAATTGGAGCATAATATTAAAATTTAAATAAAATTTTCATTCATTTTTTTCTTTCACAGTTCCAAAAAAAAATTCTTAAAAAGTATTTAGAATTTTTATATTACCTGCAGCCATAGGTATTCTCTTAGAAGAAACAATCTTAGTCAAGCCACAATTGAGCATCAAGTATGAATATCTTTTCTTGCATGAATTTAAATTTTAATTCATCATATACAAAGAGATTAAACCCCATCCCTTAAACACAGTCCCCGTTAATAAAATTATTTAGATATTAAACACATAACAACATTTATTTGATATCTCAAAATGATATTTTCCTTTTGATTCCAGTCGATTTTAATGCATGTTGTCAAAAGTCATCTTTGCTTTCCCTTTTCTTCTTCCTATTGCACCGTAAAAATCATTTTTTATTTATATATAATTACAAAATTTATATAAAAAAAGTAACTTTAAATTATAAACATTGTGATTTACTTCATACTAAATACAATCAAGTCCAAATTTAAGTAACTTTTGTTATTTGTCATTTGTAATGTAGTTTTTAATATAAATTAAAATTTCCTTTTACTTCCATACATGCTCTTAATTTATTTTAATAATTA